GATCTATGAGTATCTTGTTTTCAAATACTTTTTAAAACTATAAGGAGTTAGATGAGATCTCTTACTAACTATGGCCACAGAGTCACGCACGTCTGCCATTGGATGTTTATTGATGTTTTCGAAAGGAGGCATGGGGTTTTTCTTTCATTGATATTCCGAATTGGAGCATAGGGAGACAACCTTGTCTATTGCTTAATCCAATAAAAAAAATGACATGAAATAATCAGAGCTAATTAGAGAAGTCTTAATAATATTAACAGTTGAGTCATGTGCTTGAGTCAATTATTAAATTGTTGTGTGTTAATTTTCATTAGTAGGATATTAGGAATTCTTTGTTATTCTTCGTAGCTTGTATGTACTCAGCGTTGCTGATTGCGTGCTTTTGTGTGTCTTTGCTTGGTCATGGCCTTCGCCTTTCAATGACCCTGTAATGATCCAATTTTTACACTTGTAATATTGGGGAGCAGATTAATCACAGGTGTTTACATAGTCTAGACTTGCATCAAGGTGGTGGGATTTTGAGTGGAGTGTTGGTTGTTGTTCACAGTTTATTTCATTTCATAAGTTTGAATTTATTTCAACTCTGGTTTGATTTATTTACTACTTTTGTTGGGTTTTGAATAAGGGCCTTAATGGTTCCAACTTGTAAGACTTAATTTGGTTTTGTTAATTGGTTTTGAAACTTAATTATAACTGAGTTGGTTTTTCCGCTGCTAAATTCTGAATTAGCCTTAACGTTTGAACACGTGGCGGTAGCACGTTAGTAATTCTCTTGGATTTTATTAAAAGTATTTACAGGTTTAAAGAAAGAATTATTGGGGTGTTACACTTTCCATGTGGGATAAACTACATACATAAATTTAATGTTGGAAATATTTCCAACAATGTTGTATCTTCCATCGATATGTTAAAAAAATATAATACAATGCAAGATGTATTCGATGGTTGAAATTTTGATTAAAGAAACCTTTCTTTGATTAAGTTTTCTATGCATATGTTAATTTTAATTTATTTTTATTTTATTTTTTTTAAAAAAAATAATCTTATATGACTATTTATTAGAGTAGAATTCGATTTTCTTTCAAAGAAAAAACCTACAACACTTACTTTTTTGTAAGTTTTCTAACAACTTGGGCTTATGGAACTTGGGCTACACTTAACCCAACATAGTGTATGATCAAACTCTCCTTTAGCACAAAGCTATGGTGTCGGTATGTGGAAAGTTTTACTAGTATTTTTTAGGCATTGCTTTTAAAATTAGATAAATAAATCTTGTTCATGTGATTGAGATTTGGACCTAGTTGATGTAGGTTTTATTATAAAAACTACAAAGTTTTTTTTTATAAGAAATATACTTCCTACATTCCATTTTACTTGTAATAATTTCACTTTTATATGTTTGACGATAGTTTCAACCATTAATATCTTTAATTATTATTTAAAATTATAAATAATTGACATTATGATAATATATTTAAAGATCGATTTATGAGCAAGGTCAATAACTAAGATTGCGGGATACTCACCATGTGAACTTTTTGAAAAAAAATATATATTATTGTTGGTTGCATTATCAGTTCGTGCTATTCTAGTATTTACAAAATTAACAGTTTATGTCACCAAATAATTCACAAATTACAGTGTTCGATGTTTTTGAGGGGGTTTTTTTTTTTCGTTTTTAACGTTCTTATGTCTGAAATTATTTTTCGGCCATTACTGAAGTCCCTTGAATCTCCTATATTTATCAATTAAGATAATATGTCATCCATTACTTATATCTCTTGAATTTCTTAAATTTAATAATAGTTTTTTTTAAGATTTTATATTTCAATCCTCTGAAAAATAAAAAAGAACATCGATGTGTAAATCCTAAATCTCAATTAGATGGAAATGTTGATTTTATTGTCATTATTTTGCGGCATTTGACAATACTACTCCCTCTGTTCCATAATACATGAGACGTTGGACTTACTATTCATGTATTAGGTTTGACCATAATTTTTTTACTAACATAATAAAAATATATTTTATCAGAAAATATGTTGTTAGATAGGTTTTAATATAAAGTTTCATAATATAATTTTTAAAATAGTTTTCATTAATATTTAATTATATGAAAATAAAGTCAAACTAATGCATTGGCATGTGTGCAGTGTTTGACTGTGTCATGTATTATGAGACAGAGGGAGTATTGCATAGAATCATTGGATAAAATCTTGGATGCAACCACTTGTAGGCAATTTGGATGGTAAAGCAGCTAAAGATTAAAAAATTGTGGTTAGCCTTTTCATTACAAAATCTAAAGAAGTTTTATATAATAGTGGTTAAAAGAAATTCAAAATCAACTTGAATTTTAATGGAGGATAAGAATACGGGATGAAGAAGAAGACCGATATTTTAGAAAATAAGAATAAAACACCAAAATAAGCTTCAATGTAGGACACGAAAATTGGGGGAAGAATAAAAATACACAAGTTCTTTACCCCATTAATCTGTTTTTTTGGAATAATAAAATTTGGAAAAAATAAAAATCAGTAACTTAGGAATTAAAAAAAAATAAAATAAAACAAAACAAAGTGTAATGAAAGACTAGACAAAATTGACATGGAGAATGAGTTGAGTATTTGCAAAAAAAATAAAAATTCTGAATAAAAAAACCCCAAATCCACCTTCAAAAGTTCTTCAAGGGAGAATGATGAACAGCAAAATAAAAATGAGAAAGATGAACAAGTTTTTTTTTTTTTTTTTTTTTTTTTTTGTAAAAAAAATTTATGATATAAATGTGCATGGAGAATGACAATTAGATTTAAACTAGTTTAAGTCCCGTGTAAGCACGATTGTTATTAAATTTTATAAAGAGTTATTTTTGAATTTTTAAAATAATTATACTATACCCGTAATACTATTCAAAAATAAACATAACTTGAATTTATACCTATACCAATGTCAAGATTATTGACACTTAAACTTGATTTAAAAAAAAAAAGGGTCTATGAGATTTTATTTTAGAAAAAATAAAATTTAGGATATTTTTTATTTTAGCACCTGACAAAAACCCGAAAAAGTTTTTAACACCCCAAAAAAAAAACTTTTATTTTAACACCAAACAAAAACTATAAAAATGGTTTTTACCACCACTTAACGGTTTTGTCCAAAACTTCCGTTAAGTGGGGTCCACAGTGACACGTGTCACCATTTTACTTGTTTTCAAAAAATAAAAAATAAAAATAAAACAAAAAGAAAAAAAAGAATTTTTTATTTAAAAAACTCAAACAACCAGAAGGCAGCCACCAACGGTGGCCCTTCTCCCCGGCCAACTCCCGAACGACCCTCTCCCAGCCCCCCGCCACCAGGTTTCGCCATCGAACTTGACTGAACCTGCCCTACACCGGAAATCAGCGTACCCTCGCTTCCCGCAGCCCAAAAATCGGGAACCGCCACCGAAAATCGTGCCCAGAAAACGGCGACGAATTTCAGGGGTGGTGGTTTTGGGGCTGAGCTACCTTCCTTCCCCAAAAACGGCGACGAATTTGGCCATTAACGGCTGAAATCGACCGGTTTTGGGGCTGAGTGGCCTTAACCGACCGATTTCGGCCATCAATGGCCGAATTCGTGGCCGAATCAACAGCCATAAATTCGTGGCTGGTGATGGCGGTGGTCGAGCTAGGGTGGTTTAGGGCTGCGAGAAAAGGGTGGAGATGGGTTTAGATCGGCCGGTGAGGGAGGGGGAGGTGGTGCGCCGGTGGTTGCGTCGGCGGCTGTGGGTCAAGGTGAAGAAGAAGGTGGCAGTGGTGGGGCGGTGGTGGGGCTATGGTGGCTGGGTAGTTTTAGGTTTTTTTTTTTTTTTTTCTTTTTTGGCTAATAATAAAGCGACACGTGGCTCATGACCCCACTTAACGGATTCCTAAATGGAATTAGTTAAGTAGTGGTAAAAACCATTTTTATAGTTTTTGTCTGGTGTTAAATAAAAGTTTTTTTTTGGGAGTGTTAAAAACCATATTCGGGTTTTTGTCACGTGTTAAAATCAAAAATATCCTAAAATTTATGACTTTTAAGATTAGAAAATAAAGTATATATATGTGTGTTTTAACAAAATGATTTCATTTTTAATTGAATTAAACACTATTGCAAATATAACAAAATTGGAAAAAAAAAACGGAGGAAGTATAAAAATACTACATATATGTAATAATATATTAGTTGAGTTTATATGGAGAATTATTATTGTTAAGAATTGAAAGATATTTTGGATTATTATAAAATAATTTCCTGATTTCACCTGTATTATATAGTTATGGATTTAAAGTTTAAAATTTTCAATTGAAATTTGAAATTTAAATGAAAATTGAATTTTGGTGGAAAATAAGCCCCTTTATTTTGTCCTATCACATGACTGCCAAGTCATGTTGTATGTAGGCCTCACATACAACTATTGTATGTGTAACCTTTTCCCCATTTTATAGCTTCTGAACAACTCTTTATTTCTATAATGCTCATGAATGGTCCAAAATATGACAAAACTTTTCATCTGTGGATTGTTAGGGACAAGGTTACTTCATTGGTTTGTAGTTTCCTTTTTAGCTTAGTAGTGGTTTGTTTCATTACTTTAAAATTTGAGAAATCAATAACCAAAGACGCTTCCCAAATGAAAATCTTGAGGTTCATAGCATTGTCAACTAGAGTTTCTTCCATTAGAAAGAACAAATACCAGGCTGAGTTACAGTTTACCCTTTTAAACCATGACGATCCACTGATTCCACAACTTCCTTCTCGCCACTCAGCGCTGTGTAATAGCACCGTCCTATCCTTCCATTCAGCAGTTGTAATAGCTCCGAACTCCTATCCTCCATTTCTAGGAAATAAAATATCCACTAGAAATACAGATTGTTATGTTCTCAGGTTGTATGCCCAAAGGTAGTGTTCATGCAGCCACAACCTTTTAAAATTTATGTTTCATTTATTTTTTTTCCTTGTTTTTTAAGATCAAGTGAAGATCATTGTAATAGTAGTGAACTTTACTCTTATATTTATTATCATTGATTAAACATATGTCCAAAAAAAGGAAGGTAAAAAAAAAAGGCAATCTGAATGTAAGGAGAATTGATAAAATCAAAAGAAAACCAAAATTTTTTTAGATCAGCAATCCTGGAAAAATGCGCTCTATCCTTCAATTGCTGATCTTTCTAAATCATCAAACTATGACTTCTTATCAATGTTTTTGCTATACTTCTTAGCAACTCCGGCCTCAGAAGATGTATCCCATACCTGCCAAGGATTTTTGCTCTAGGTTAGTAAGATCAATTCCACGGTTTTAAATTATTATATTACATGCCAGAAAAGAAGTGTAATGAACTCTCACATCTAATATTCCCTTAGAACCTCCGATAGCAAGCCATAAAGGATTTTCCTGTGAGAAGGAAACTGAAAAAACAGCTCCCTGTAGGATAAGATAAGAAAACATAAAAAAATCTTTAGAAGCTGAGACAAAGATCTGCATGTAAAAATAATAGTGACCACAAAAAAAAAAAAAAAAACAATTACTACAGAAAGCCTAGCCTCGTACTCTACGCTTTAAGTCTATGACTTTATTAGCAAAATTTTAATAAGAATATTCTTCTTCCATTTCTCTTTTGGTGAGAATCATATACTTACAGCTTTAGGATTTCGGGAAGAAATACAGGACGGCTGGTTATTTGACAAATCCCATAGTTTAACCATTTTATCAATTGAGCCACTAGCAAGGAGCTGCAGAAAGCAATTCCAGAATGAGGAAAAGAAAAAAGGCTAGCAAAGCAAGCGCACAAATCCTGTAGAAAGAGAATTTACATTTGGTATGGAGGGATTATATGAGATAGTGCTGGCAGGTTTGTCATGTGCATGAATGGTGAAACTAGGCTTCAATTCTGCATCTGAACTGGAACTTGCAGCTCGAATGTCAAAACCCTGAATCATTCCATTCTCAAGGCTTACCTGGAATTGCAAAAATTTAAAACAGTTGAACAATTCACGCTTTCCACATCATGAAAGACGATATAGAAACAATCAGAGTTAATTAGCACTAACAACAAAAGAGTGTTCTGTATGAGGATCCCATGCCAGGCTCTCAACATCAGCTACAACAGACCACCTGTATCCAGAGTGTGAAGGCTTCCTTCCATCCTTCTGCAATAATGAATAAATACCATGAGGGTTTTACGGCAAATGAAAAGGACAACTAAACCCAGAACATGCTCTCCCTTGATGAGTACAGTCCACAACATGTCTCAATATAAAAGTAATTGATGAGAATAGCAAAAGCAGACGAGCAGGAGTTATATCATGTCGATCTCATTGATATAAATTTCTTGCCCACTAATCTATGCTATCATCTTGATTACGTAAATGCGGCCACCCTTAAGTGTGAATAAAAAGCCTTTTATTAGCATGTAACGAGTGAGCTATATATTTCTAGCAAAATAACAGAAGATAAGGTTAAAAAAGGACTCACTGCTCAAATTTTCATCAGTCAAACATTATAACAAAATTAATCACGATAACCAATCTAAAAAATTCAGATTGAAGCAGGAAGCACAAAAAATTACTCTGATGGAGAAAGAAATTAGAAAGGCAAAAATCCAAGGAACTATTGAAAGAAAGCACAACCCAATGCTTTAACAAGGATCATTAATCATATTTTACATTTTAAATATTACTAATGCAGTCTGCCATCATAATTAAATCTATCAGAATAATAACCCAACTGAAATCATAGAAGGGTGAGCGCAAATCTAATCTCTCCAATTTACAAATTTTGTCTTAGTTGGCTTTACAAAAAAAATTAAGAACAATGTAGAAACAACAATAATATCAACTATTGATGCAGTGCATAAAAAATATAGAAAGATAATGGATGATTACCGCAGTCACGTCGAAATAAAAGGAACAATAACTATTACATAAAGGGAATTGTTAATGGCCAAAAAAAAAAAAAAAAAAAAAAAAAGCATAAATGATGGCAATGCCCATATCAAGATTATTAAACAAATACCAATTATAGCTAAGTTTATTACCATAACAATTGAATGATCGAAAGATCCACTTAAAAGAATTTGTGGTACATGATGACTGAACGCAACTGCTTGAACCTGCAAGAAAGGCGAATATGAAATAGCTATCGAAGTAGCAGCAACTGGCACAAGCAGTCCTAGAATAAAATGTTGACATATACTCCTAACTTGCAACACTTTGACTTTTACTCTATTCACATACTCCACTTTGACCGGCTTTAGTGATTTATAGTTAAGGAAAAGCATAGTCTTGTGGGATTGTTAGATTTGTCTCAGTTTATGCTTTTACAATACAAACTTTTATTATTTTAACTTATTGATAATTAAAGATATTTATGACTGAAATAATGTATTGGCAAACGTGAAATGAGAAGTGTTACAAGTAAAAAGAAACAAAGGAAGTATTTGTTCTGAATATAAAGGTACGGGAAAAAAAGGAAATGAGGAGTCCTTCCTCAAGATAGTACCCTTGCCTCCCCGTTATGAGTATTTACATACCATGGCATTTTGGTAAAAAAATGTCATCTATTAGTTTTCATTAATGATTTTGGTTTATGTGCAAAATATCAATAAGCTAGTAAAAAATACTCTCCGTCCCGGTTTATAGTTCTTGTTTGTGTTTTTTCACAGTATTTAAGAAATGAGAGGAGAAAGTGGATGAAGTACATTAAAAAAGTGAAAAGTACAATTATAGACAAAAGTTAGAGAGAGAAAGTTGAAAAAAGTACAAGGCAAGTGGAAAATTTAAGGGTAATTTAGGAAGTACAATAAATAAAGTTAAAAAAATGAGGGTATAATGGTCTTTACATACTATCCAAAAATAGAAACAACATTTTGGATCTCCAAAATAGGAAAACAAAAACTTTAATGTGAGACGGAGGGAGTACCACTAGATGGTCTATTAGTATACTAATATAAGTAAAACCTTTGTCGGTAATATAATACTTTTTTTTCTCTCTCTTCTTTTTTTTTTTTTTTCTTTTTTTGTATTGTCACTTTTTTTTCTCTTTCCTTAGCAAAGTGTTCGTCAATCAGTCATTTCTTCCTATATCTCTCTAGAGCATTTTTATTTTTCTAGCCTTTTTTCATTAAACCTATTAGACCCCACCCCCACCAACTACTATGGGTTTTTTTTTTTTTTTTTTTTTTTTTTTGGAATTTTATAAAATGTCAAAAATGGTCTGGTATGTGCCAAATAACCCCCACGCAGGGAGCCCCCTAGATCATCCTTCCTCTTGAGGAAAAATTTACACATTGGGTGACAAGATTCTTGGCATTATCTAACATGTACAATTGCCTTGTAAATTGGGAAGCTGATTCCAACTGTCCTTAATGTATCAGAATGCCAAAACTACAGGATTTCTAACTTAAAAAGCCATAGTGCAGACTTGGATCATCTAACCACCCTCTTTACAAAATATTTCAGCAGAATCCACCAGAAGTTCTATACAAATTCTTTAAGAAACAGCTCTTTAGTGCTCCGTCATGTGACCTTGTCATTTAACAACAGTTTAGACACCCTATTTTAATGACTCAAGGTGATGGACAAAAATGACTTTCTAATTAGTAGAAGTGTTGCAACCAACTTTAATGTCTTTGATGATTGAAATGTGTGTTTCATTTACAATTCAAAATTTAATATCTTTTTTATTTAAAAAAAAAAATTTTAAAAAAAAAAAAACACATTCTGTGATAGACTAAATAAGCCACAATATCTTCTAGCCAATGGTAAAATAATGAATAAGGTTTGATTCTTGCCTTGTCAGAGTGGTGCTCCATGGTAATACTACACTTTCCAGTAGCCACGTCCCATATCTTAACTTTTTTGTCTGCACTAGCACTAGCAAGTATATTCCTGATTCATACAGAACAAAGCAGCAAGACACATATATTTAAAAATTCGGCTGGAAAAGGGTTTTAATATAAAAAAGGGCATAGAAGGGAAGAAAAGCTCAACCTGAACTCCTTGTTCCAAGCAAGGCCAAGCACTGCGTCGGTGTGGCTGTCCTCTTTGAACTTAGGTTTCTAAATGAAGTATTCAGCAAAAGAAACAAAAATCAGCTAGAAATTGGGAACAAATAAGAGAACTGAAAATCAAATATAGGCCTGATTAAACCCAAGAGTCTCATAGTAAGCATATATAAAGGTTTCTGGACCAGACTATAAGATCTAACTGCAGCCCAGTGATAAATTTGGCATAAAAAGTTACAAATCACAAAAAAGTATACAGCATAACATATACTAATATTCATTTCATCTATTCTTTTGACATCCAAAAAGGACCAAATATAATATCTACTCAACAAAGCATTAGTGTTCACAATGCGTTTATATTTAGTCCCAGATGTTCTCAGGTCAAGCGCTTGGGAATCTGACTGCTAATTTTTTATTTGTATAAAGAATTCTGCAAAGACACTAATCTTCATTAATTAAAGTCATCTCACATCTGCAATTGACAATCAACAACAAAGAAAACAAACTTAACAAAGCCAAACTATAATCAACCATGAAAGGGCTAAAAATCCAAATTCACATATACAACACTTGAGCATATTCTCAATTCGTTGTCTCATGCACCTTTACGTGTTGATCCGTCACTTCGTAATTTTAAGAGAAAATATTTCTTGTAATAACTTCGTAACTTGTATCATCAACATCAATCGTAGTCCTACATAACTTGAGACTATTCCAAAAGAAGAAAACACCAACACACAAGTCATCTGAAAATCTGAGATCTTGAGATTCCCACAAAAGGAGAGAAAACCCTTCACAAATGGGACCAAATCTTATCAACTAGAGGGAGAAACATAGGTAATTTGTGATGACTCAGCAACCGTTGGCTGTGTACACCAGGAAGAGGCATCGTAACCCACATTCAGCAGCAGCAGATGAAGGCAAGACAATGGAGACAGACCTCCAGCCAAGCAAAAAGCAAAACGCCAATTCGGAGATAGAGGACAAAGCTACTTAAGGAAATCTCAGGAGTCAACAGAGAGAGTCAACCTAAACATGTTGGAGTAAGAAAAGAAAAGCAGAAAAGCAAAAGAATTAGAAGACAAACACCATTAAGAGATTACTTGTAATCTGATTTGTATATATAAAGAATAGGGTAGGAAGGGAAGGGAAGGGTGTCTTTTGAATATTGAAATTGTGAAACTGAGATTGAGAACCTCAAGTTGTTAGAGAGTGATAACCTCAAGTTATCTTGGCTAGAGAATGATAGGCTAAAGCTATCAAGTTATCTTGTTCCCTTGAAATTAAGCCTTTAATGCAAAATTAATCTCTTGCTTGCTGCTATTTTTGTGAGTGTTGTGTTTGGGGATTAAGTCAGTCTATAACATAATTTATTAGAAGAAACTGAAAACTAAAAAGGAGAAAGAGAATGGGGCTCACCATCACCAACAATGGTGGATAGCAGCCCCTTGAAGAAAGCTGATATGGTTTGCTGAAGGGTTAAGGGTTGGGGGGGGGGGGGGGGGGAAGAGGTGTTTGGGAGGGAGAAATTGTGTTTCTGACTGCTAATTATCCTTCATAACATCTTATTTTGTCCTAATTCCTGTTATTCAGTACATATATATCTGTGAAAATAACATCAACATACTATTGCCAATTGCCAGTAAACACAGGTCATCATGTGCTGTGGTGTTACAGAAGCTCAAATTAAGTCCTGGCATTTGAACATTAGCATAGTTCAGCACAAGAATCTAAACCCACGGTAATACCCCATTTATAGTTGCTGATAAAAGCTAACCAGATAAATAATAGGTTGATGACAAGTGCAATAAATGGGTAAAAACATTGTTCAAAGGCATAAAACACAATATATAAACAAATAAATATAAGAAAAATGCTTCAATTGCATAAGTTAATACGTCTGTTTCTTTTTTAGTTGACATGTATTCCTATTTTGGATTTTTTATAGTTGACATGTTTCCTTTACATTTCCATTTATACATTTCTTTACCCACTTGCTTTTACCTACCCTGTCCTCTTCTTGCTTTACAAGTTTACATATACTATTATATGATTGCTTTTGCCTTCTCTCTTGTCTCCACGAATTGTGTGCCCAATTCTAATATATCAACTAAAAAGAAACGGAGGAACTATAATAGTGCAGAATTGCGCATCAAGTTTTTTAGAATCACATTGAAAATCCAATTTTTGTGATCACATACAACAAACATTATGATCATACAGACAGCACTTAATTATTAACCATATTATCCGTCATTTAACTACAAGACATGGAAAATCATAAAAGTGAAAGCAAATTGCAAACAAAATGAGGAAACTGTGTAAGTTCAATAGTTTTACCTTCTTTCTTTTTTTCTTCTTCTCAAGACACTCATCAATACCACCTAATACAAGTGATGGTTCAACTTCATCAATCTGTCACAATAAGAAGAGAGTAAAGCTCAAAATTAGCTTTATTATTATCATTATATTCCAAATATAATGTATACTATCGAGTACTTACAATATCAAGATCCCATATTTCAATTGAAGGTTCCATTGAGCCCACAGCAATAAAGTTTCCTGCCAAAAAAGGAAATTGTAGTAAATGAATTAAAATATGTTTTGGGGTAATAGCACAATAAACATCAGCAGGACCCTAAAGCAAAAGGAAAAGCAGCAGCAATCAGCAAACTAACGAAGCCAGCTTACCATGAAATTGCAATTCACATATTCACTCTTTTTCTTAATACTAGAGAACAGCCTAGTATTAACTCCCATCAAGGAAAGATATGGACTTTAAATGTAAACATGAATATATTAATTAAAATCACCAAAGCAAAAAGTATCACTTTTTAATACAGAATAGTTGGAAGACTTGGAACCATTCTGTTTTCAAAACTTAGAAATAAATCCTATGAAACTAGGATATAATTCTACAACTTCAAATAAACACTAACCAAAAAGAAATATTCTGAATGATATATTTAAAGTCCAAAACTTCAAAACCATATGAAGTATTAGTATCAAACCTCTTTCTCCGCCCTTTAGTGGGCAGTCAAGCCACGCAGTGCATAAGGGAAATGCTGATATAATGATATCATGGTGAACATACAAGTTTGGACCATCTTCTGTATCCTCTAAGATATAAACCTGAAAGTTATTATATTTATCAATAGTAAATACTGAACCAATCAATACATGCATGCACAAATAAACCCTCCCCTAGCTGAAAGGAGATTGAGTTAACAATGAAAACAAAATGTTAAAAAGCAGCAGAAGCCCATAACAGAGAGAGATAACTCTAGGATACAAAATTAAATTTTAACAAGTAAAGCATAACTTAAGGGATGCTACTACGCATTCATAGATATTTATATATAAACTTGCCCAATACCTGGGCCGCCATGAGCAACTGAAACAAATACGCACACCACATGCACATCAAAAATAAAAAGAAAAAATTGTACACCGTATGTTCAGAATACCTCAAGTTGACTGATTTCTTCTTCATTACGTGCACAAACAATAATAGAATCTTCTGCTCTTATGATCATATCCTCTTCCTCTTCTGAATCATTATCCTAAAAAATAAACAATATAACAATTTCAGAAATAATTGAACAAATTAATCCAGAGGGTAAATTTGAAGTGTCCTACTTACATCCTTATCCTTTAGGTACGGGTCCAATTCGCTGCTGGGATAATAAGCATCACCAAGCCCTTTACTAAATACATCAATGCCTATTATTAAAAATAAATAAATACATCAATGCCTATCTTCAGATGAAGTATTATCACACACAGTAAGAAAGATCCAAGAAGCCTATCTTAAGAACTAACAATGAGGCTAAGATAACATTTGAAGTCACTTGCTAAACAAAAAACCACAACATGATACTGGCAATAAGTCTGATGTACCATCATCGTCTTCTTCATCATAATTTTCCATGTCAAGTTCCCTGAAGGCATCAGCTATATCACCAGAACCCTTGCCAAGTGCCTCTGCCGCGACAGATGCAAGTGCAACTTCATCAACCTCCTTGGTGCTCTCTGCATCCATGTCCTTGTCTTCATCATCATCATCATCATCATCATCATCATCATGCTCAACATCACTGTAATGTTAAAAAAGCATCAATAAACCACATAAAGAATCAACTTAAAATGTTACACACACACCCCACCTGACAAAGTTTCCAACTATCAAAACTAGAATAATCTCTATACACTTGTAGAAACCAGAAAAAACAAAATCTCATAAACATGTTGGTATACAAGACTACATGTGCACCTAAAGCAGTGGCATGGAAATACACTATAATCCCATCTCCCAAAACTTCTAATCTAATGATTAAACCACACTTAAAACATTAGCCTTTAAATGACAAAATAGACAAAATATTTCAATGTTGTGCCACAAATTTCCAAACCACATCTAACCTTACAACTAACACATAAAGCCTATATTGACAATTAAATCCCCATTATTAATCCCTCTCAAGCAACTAGGAAAGCACATAACATATTAAAGACACAAAGTCCATAAACAAGGGGAAAAATATGACTCTTATAAAACCCAAAATCACAAATAACCCAAAACCAATATTTCAACACCTTACAAAACCCAAAATCACAAATAACCCTTTTGCTCTCTTTTTTTTGTTCTGTAGCCGACCCCAGTTATGAGATTAAGGCTTTGATTGATTGATTGAAGAATGAGTGAATAAGTAATCACATTAATAACTTCCAAAACTAAAGCAATTCCATTCATCATCAACAAAAAAAAACTTAAAAGAAAATATTGAAAAGCCTACAACATAATACAATTAAATTAAATTAATTACGCTGTATCAAGAAGACCACTTTGGAGCAACTTATCAATTTCTTCTTTAGATGGAAGTTCAGCTACTTCTGGTAATGATTTTGCTACTCCCTTGGGCACCCATGAAATCGCCGCAATCATCGTTTATCACCTGAATAAATATTTGACAACAGCTATATAATATAACAGCAGCCAGGCCCGTCCCTGAGGCACGGCAGGAAGGAAAAGAGCTCAAATATCATAGTTTAATCCTAACATTAAAGTGTTGTGCAAAGTAACCAAATTTGATTCAATTATCTCAATTTTAGGGATATTGATTCAATTATCTCATAATTTTAGGGATATTTGATTCAATAATCAAATTAGGCTCATAATTTTCTTTTCTTTTGGTTATCTTAGAATTTAGAACCAATAATTCAGATTTTCGAACCGTACACTAGATTAAATTAGATTGTGAAATTGAAATGATGATAACAAATACAAACAACTTACCTCAGAAGCTGCTTCAATGAGGAATACAAGAACTAGATACAATGGAGAACGTCGACTGCGCTTCAATGGAGAACGTTGAGTGCGCTTCAATGGAGGGAGTTCTGAGAGAGAGCAATTCAATGGATTGGACGCTTGGAGCCCTATTAAAACCCATGACCCGCCACAGTTATTAATGGGTTAGATCCGTCTAATAAATAAATGGGTTGGGTCTTATACGATCGTTCAATTATGGGGCAGGGTGGGCCTTATAAGGGTTTAAAGTAAACCTGTTTTAAAAAGTACGGAGTATTAGTTTATCTTTACACTTCTATTTCTCAAATACTATGTTCACGCACCAAAGCTTGTATAAATTGTTTATAATTTTTTTTTTTAATTTTGAAAACAGCTAAAATTTCATTAATTAAACTGAGTTTACATAGAGCTATCAAAAGTTGTCTCGACCCGAAATATCGACCCGAACCCGATTATTAACCGACCCGTTTGAACCCGAAAAAATGGTGACCCGAACCCGATATGACCCGACTTGAAACCAACCCTAGACCCGAATTAACCTGAAATTTTGAGACCCAAACCCAAACATGAACCGACCTGGAGATGACCCGACCCGTAAATTATTGACCTAAACCGAACTCGACTTGAACCGAGATCGACCCAAACCCGTTTTAACTCGTCAAAACCCAAATTTAACTCGACTTGTTACTAACCCGACCCGAATTCAACCCAACATGTTACTAACCCGACCCGAATTTAACCCAACCTGTTATTAAACCGACCCGAATTTTACCCGACCTATTACTAACCCGACCAGAAAATCAACCCGATCTGTTACTAATCCGACCCGAAATCAACACGACTTGTTATTGACCTGACCTAAATTCAACCCAAATTGTTCCTGACTCGATTTCAAATCACCTTAAATTCAATTTAGACCACCTTATTAATATTGATCAAAGTATAATTATATAGTTACGTTGTCGCTTGTGTAGTTGTGTGCTTGTGCAAACGAGTTACTATGATAAGTTCAATAGTCAATAGTTTAAAACATACGACTCCTTACATAGAGTAATTATAGCAATTTGCTCATTTCTAATTGTTAGAATATATTTAGTATATATACAATAATTAGAGAATATATTCTAAGCTACTCGTAAAGTCGTAAATTCGAACCTGAAAATTGGACCGATTACTTACTCCTTGACTACTTGTTTAAGATAGAATATGGCAATGAGAAATTGAGATTGAGGGTGGGATTGTGTGAATCTAGGAGAGGGCGAGCAGTGGTGAATTATAGCCATGGGTGGATCTCTGAATTTTATATTAGGAAAGCTAGACTTTAATGGCGGCAATGGTGAGATTGGCGACATTACAATGAATCACTGATTATATGATTTTGAGATTTTCCAATAATGCTCCCCTTATTACTTTTTCTTTTTTTTTTTTTTTTTTTTTTTTTGGTACGCTAAATTAAGTCATAAAGTATTATATTTTTCTCCAAATAGCTAGCAATCCAGGATTACTTATTTACGTCATATAATTTATTTTCATTTTATTAATTTTCATTTTTTTTTTCCCTCCTAATTCTATGAGTTATTTTCCTATTTAAGCTTATTCAAATATTTTCAATAAAATTCTCTATTATCAAACGTATTACAATTTATATGTCAAAAAAAAAAAAACCTAAAAAATTTATGAATACTACTACTTTTTGGATGCATGTGCATTCTTTATTTAAATTTAGTAATTACGATTTACGAATACTACTACTTTTTAGGTGCAAGTTCATTCTATATTTCAATTAAGCAATTACGGTTACGAATACTACTACTTTGTAGGTGCATGTGCATTCTAAATGTAGTCAATTACGGTTTACGAATACTACTTGACCTTAGGCTTGTTTGTTTTATCTTATATTTTATAAATAAAAATTATAATATCAGGAAAAAAAATTAAAAAAAAATAATAATTTCGGATAAAATTGAATTGAACGTGATAATGATTGAATGCGAGCATGCGTATATGACAATGACCTGATGATAATCTGACCCGAATAATTTACCTGACTCCGATCACGACTTGACTTGTTTGGTCACGAGAAAGTGGTGACCCGAACTAGAGCTGTTAAAAGGCTTTTATTGGTCTTTTATTTTTCTAATTTTATTATTCATTTGCCTTTTTAATCTTATTTAAACGTTTTAAATAATGCCATTCAAATGTTCAAAAAAAAATGCCATTAAAAAAAACGTGAACTCGGATATGAACTTATAAAAAATAAACAAGTTTGGATAATTTCAAATAAGTTTAGAAAAAAAAAAAATTGTATTTTAACTTATCTAAACTAAACCTATTTTAACCGAATTTATATGAACTTATTGTATTTATCTAAAGTAATTTGAACATGTCATCTCAAATATGAAGTTATCTGAAATTGTTATCCCTAAAATGAGTGGAATCAATGTGAATAGATTAGAATAGGGTTTGAACTTATCTTCTAAAAATCTAAACTAAACCTATCTTACTGGAATTAATATGAACTTATTACGTAGATCTTATCTAAACTTATTAGAACTTGTTAGCTCGAATTTAAACTTATTTGAAATTATTTCTCTTACAATAAATGAAGTAATTGATAATGATTAAACGTGAACTTCATTACATGAACGGTTAACAAACCGACCCAAAAAATGTACCCGAACCCAATATGACCAGACCTGAAATCAACACGAAACCCATATTAACCCAATATTTGAGACCCGAACCCGAACATGACCCGACTTAGAAATGACCCGACCTGATTATAACCCGCAAATTATTGACTTGAACCAAATTCGACTTGAACCCGAACATGACCCGACTTGAAAATGACCCGACCTGATTGTAACCCGCAAATTATTCACTTGAATCGAACCCCACTTGAACCCAAGAATGACCCGACCTGTTTATAACCCGCAAATTACTGACTTGAACCGAACCCGACTCAGACCTGAGAATGACCCGACCCGATTATAACCCGTAAATTATTGACTTAAACTGAACCCGACTCGAACCCAAGAATGACCCCAACCCGTTTTAACCCGTGAAAATCCGAATTAAACCCGACCTATTATTCACCTAACCTGAATGTAACCCGACCAGTTATTAACCCGACCTAAACCCGACCCAAACCCAATAAGATGTATGATTCGACGTGACCCGACTCAAGCATGACCCAACCCGAACCCGACTTGCATAGGTTACGACATTAACCCTAATTGACCAGACCCGAGTTGACCCGACCCAAACCCGACCCGTTTACCCGAATTGACAGCTTTAAGTTTATGACAAACAAAAAGAAAGTATGGTAACATAAGTCAATTACAAGTTATTATGTATTAAATGTGGTTAGGATGAGTTTTCCTAAAAAAAAAAGGTGGTTAAGATGACTTTTTTGTCGTGGCCTTTATGGCAAATTAATTGTGCCCTGTGAACTATACAATTGTATAGATGATGTTACTTCTACGGTTTTAACATCAACAGACGGTCACCTATAATTTATTTTGAATGCAGTTGCAGACTAACAAGTGTAGAATTGTATGAGTTGGTTAGTGATCTATGTAAAACAGTAAATTATTAGTGAATAACTTTGGAAGTGACAGCTTTAATACTTTTTTTTTTTTTGAAAAAACCCATCAAGGGCTATTAAATTACTAGATCAATCGAAGAAATTTCCAAGATGCGAGGCAGGATTACATCACTCCACACCTGTTGGCCAAACTCCCAAGGTTAAAAATGAGCCAATTCGTGTGCTACATGATACGAGTCGTTTACCGTATAAAATTAAATATTTATTTTCCTAACTTAACCTTCAAAAATATTAACAACTAGTAAAAGAGTAAGCAAGGGCCGATCCCACGAGGACACTTTTAACTCTTAAATCAACGTTTAACTAAATTACAAAATATTACGGAAACTTACATACTATACATTTATTCACATATGTACATAAATTTTTTTGGGGGGGGTTGTTTAAGATAGTACTAAACTAATAAAACTAATACGAACTAAACTACTATTGACGACACAACTAGCCATTCCATTATATAACTCTTACTTGATTTAGTTATTAGCAACGACATACAGTTGACCTTGACTACCACCGATTATAATTATTTGACTAAGTGTAGAGCCTAAAATAACAAAGACTCCCTATAATCCCTTAATTTTATTCAATTACGAACTAAGCCAAATTGACTCTAAACCATTCTAACTTATACAAATATGATCGCAACTCATATAATTTAGAAATGGAAGCATTATAAACTAGGAGACATCATTAGTCCTAATTAATCTAATCACATAAATGTTTAGAATAATTAGATTGAAAATACTCCTAACTCATATTATAACCATAATCGCAAATTTAACATGAGAAGGGGCTACTTCATTATACGATGTAAACTAAACTAAACCGTATAACTAGCAAGCATTCACAATCACACACAATGAAAGATAACAATCAACCATGTAATTGTAAAATTTATCACTAATAACAAGCATGTTCAATAAATAATTAAATCGGAAAAATCACTCAAAGTATATTTAACAATACTAACCAAAATACTATGCTAATAATCAAATCAAAATAAGTCAATAAGAGTAGTGAAGGAATTAACAAGGTATGTAATTAAAACAATTGAGTAAGAAGAAGAACTTATAAAGTTGTACTCAAAAACACTCGTACGAGACTCGGCTTCGACCCCGCAATTCACCGTCGTTCTTGTTCGACCTTGAATTTGAGACTAAGCTTCCTTCAATGGTTGTCTTCTCTTCCAATTGCGCCAATTCAGGGACCCGATTGAAACCTTCACTCTCAATTTCTCAGATTTTTGGTTGTAGTTGTGCGTGCTCCGTATGGGATAATTGGGGGGTTTTATACCCAAAAACGACCTCAAAATTTTGTATATGGGAAGATAAATTCTTGAAATTGGATAAAATTTCATCTTCTCCTTGAATTTCGGAGGAAAGAGGTTGAAGATTAACATATGGAATATGGTGGTTTTGAGCTTTGGTTTTCATGCAAAACCAGTTCTTATCTTCTTCTTTTCTTTGCTTTTCTTTTGTTTTCTTTTTATTTGATGATAAAGGCACGTGATGCTTTTGTTGCTTGAAGTAGTAAAATGGGCTA